TTTCCCTACTCTTTTCTGGGAAAGATGGAAGGGACCAGGAAGATAAGGCAATCTGGCACCTGGACATGGGAGGGAGGACTCAGTCCCCTTACCCAGAGTCAGACCCCTGCACAGGCATTAGCACCTTAAAGAGCTGCAGACAAGCAACAGCAGGCAGCTGGCTGGGAGAAGAATGCCAAGAGGTCAAATCAGTCTTAACCCTGGAACCAGAGTCACTAATTAGATCAGGTCAGGGACTTTGTTCTGGACATGACGCACCCCTAACTCTGTTCTGGACGCAGCTGCTGCGAGTGGAGTGCAAACCCAGCTAGTCGGATTTGCAGGCAGAGGGAATGAAGACAAAACCATGCCAATGGAAGAGGGTTGTTAATGTAGTTGTGGCCACAGAGACATTCTCAAGAATCCACATCTTAGAATCCCCAAGTGCCAGGAGAAAGGAAGAAAATCCCTACAGATCAGAAATCCCCAACAATCTCGTTAGGGAGGTAGCTCCGGCTTTCAAATGCCTGTCCTTCACCCAGCAGGGTGGCGGCACTTACGGCATTTCACTGACCGGGAAACCAAGGCTCCAGTACTGACCGCCAGAGTCACTTAAGCAAGTATTAGGCTGGGGCTAGGATTTGGATCCCTCCATTTCTAGTCCAAAGATCTTTGTGAACATACCTTAATCCCAAAATATTTGCTGGGCATCGATTTATTTAACACCACAAAGGAGCTCTTCCTTTTGGTCTGTGTTTACCAAGGATATTTTTAGGTACATCAATTCCTTTAAGCTTCAGGAAAGGATGATACCCAAGATGTCCAGATGAGAGAATTGATTCTTAAAAACAGAGGGAGCTGCACAGATGATTCAGGCATCCACTGGGTAAGAATGTGTGCGTCTTTTGGGGAAACTTCCGAGCTGCCACGTATTTAATTCTCACTTGGGAGCTCAGCTTAGCTGTATTGTAGTCACACTTCCATTGTGTCCCAAGCGGGAAAGCAGGACAGGTAAACCAACAGGGGTGAAATGGGAGCTGTAGAGGCCAGATGAAGTCAGCCTAAAACCTAGTTTGGCTGTATTAAGCCAACTGCAAGGACAAAATATAAATGTTAAAAAGCGGATGGCAATGAGTTTAGGGGAAGCTAACACAATGAGATGAAAGAAGCAGGGAAATTAATCAGAATTCTGCAAAAACAGAGGGTCCTGTGGAGGTCACTGCAGTAGGTACTGGAGACGCCAACCCAGCAGGGAGTACCCGGCTACCCGGGAGCACAAACCAGCCAGGGGACCGGGAGGAAACCTCCCTATGCACGAGCGATCTGATCGTTGAGTCTAGGGGATCTGGACGGATCCATGTCTTGAAAAATAAGTTTAGACAAGCACGGTGAGCACCCTGAAATTTTATTAGAGGATTGCTGTGTTTATGCATTTGTTTTTCTTAAAGGACTCCAAGACCCTTCCCAAAGTTAAGAACTTTGAGTTTAGCT